AATCACTCATCACGACTAATGTACACGCATCTGTTTCACGGTTCATCCCTCTGTGCGCATGCGCTGCGGGAGGACAGGGTTCTCGTCTGCTCCATTTACTGTTACGACGCTCGGTGCAATAACTAACTATATGTATCAGTTATGGTATTGGCTGTCGAGGATGGAATGGGGAGGACTGGGGTCCCCAGCCTGTAAGGACACTTTCCACAGGCTGAAGGTATCCCAGTAAGGAGCAAGGAGAGGGGGGAAGATAACACTAAATTTGTCCTCTCAGCAGCTTTGTTCTGGCCCCTATCTATGTGGCTTTAGGAACGTTGTCTGGAGACTCAGTTCTTCTGTGCAGCAGTACTAGGTGCTGTGTGGTATTGTTTCCACAGAATCAACACGTGTGTGTGTGTGTGTGTGTGTGTGTGTGTGTGTGTGTGTGTGTGTGTGTGTGTGTCCCAGAGTCAGGACACAAGAAATATACTGTCTCCTTTGCTGTCAGTACCTGAATCTGAGAAGCCAAGGAAGAGAGGAAGCCTCTTGGAAAAGGTGCTGAGAAGGTAGAAGTGAGGAGGACCAAGGAGAGCAGGCTGGACCCCGGGTGAGAAAGGCTCTCCAGGACTTGGCTGGCCTGAGCTGCAGCATGAGCTTCTGGGAATGCCATTCACAGTAAAGATGGCGAACTCCTCCCTGCAGACAGGGTGTCGGTCAAGAGGTACTTCCTCAGCAAGAGTAGGTGGAGCTCTGGAGTTCAAACCCAGGCCAGATAAGAACAGGATGCCTCCCGGCTTTCCTGTTCAGTGGATGGAGCTGTCACATGACCAGGTGAAATGCTAGTTGAGGCCACCGGATGAGAGCAGTACTGGTAGTGGGCGCTGTTTTCTACACAGCTGATCTCCACAACACTGACTTGCAGCCTCGCTTGGATCCCTCTGTAGGAAGGGCAGAATCACAGAAGAGGAGAGCTGTATGTGAACTCAGGTCAGGAGCTTGCTACCCGGCTCCAGGTTCTTCTGCCAGCACCCCCATAATGGTTCTCTGTCCACAGGCAGTTTGTAGTTGAGTGGTTGAAGACACATCCTAGTTGCCAGGCCTGGCTTGTCCCACCTCTGCACCTTACTGGTTCAAATAAGTCACTTAATGTCTGTAAGTTCAGTTTTCCCACGAATGAAATGAGCATTCTAACCATAGCTCCTGATATTAATTGCTAGTGCTCAATTAATAATATTCTCACTGCTGGAGAGGCAAAGAATTCTGCTTCAAATAGCCTACATTCTACCGGGAGGGATAAAAAAAATAGTAAAAGTAGATGGGGTATATTAGGTGTGGTAAATACTGAGAAAGGAAATGAAGGCAGAAAAGGCATGTGAAATGTTGGTCGGGTGGAGAGTATGCTTCCACAATTGGCCAGGAGAGGGGACATTTTTTGTCAGTGCTAATGATTAAACCCAAGGCCCTGGGCAAGGGTTATACCACTGAGCTTGTGGTGATTTGAAAGAAAATGGCCTCCAAAGGGAGCAGCCCTATTGGGAGATGTGGCTTTATTGGAGTAAATGTGGTCTTGTTGGGGGAAGTGTGTCATTGTGGGGGTGGGCTTTGAGGTCTCCTATGCTCAAGCTACACCCAGTGTGGTAGACAGTTCGCTTCCTGTTGCCTACAGCTCAAGATGCAGAACTCTTCGGCTCCTTCTCCAGCACCATGTCTGCCTGCATGCCACCATGTCCTGCCCTGATGATAATGGACTAAACCTCTTAAACTGCAAGCCAGCCCCAATTAAATGTTTTTCCTTTATAAGATTAGCCATGGTCATGGTGTCTCTTCACAGCAATAGAAATCCCGAGTAAGACAAAAGCTACATCCACATGTAGCTGACCCAGGGCTCTAGCAATCCTCCAGTCTTTGACTGCCAAGTGCTGGGATTAGAGACATGAACGAATATGCCTGGCGTTGGAAGCTTCTAATGACTATCCTTGAGGAGACGAGGTTGGGTTCTGGTCAAGTTCAACCTCCGTCTATGCAGCAGGAGCAAGTCACTTTGTCACCTTGTTATTTCGTGTCCCTTTTCATCAACTGTGCACTAGGGCAGGGTTTGTTTCTTCAAGTGTTGTTCCAGCAAGTATTTTCTAATTGCTGCAAGGCAGGTGCTGCCCCTGGCGTAGATGTTGCAAAGGTGAATGTCCCAGATGAGGTCCTGGATTAGTTCCTTTTCTTTTTGCTGTGACCGTATGTTTAGCAAGACGCAACTTAAAGGCTTGCTTTGGCTTACAGTTCGAAGGGATACAACCCATCATTGTGGGGAAAGCATGTAGGCAGGAGCATGAGGTGGCTTGTCACATTGCATCTATAGATTCTATAGTATAGCCTCTTGTAGCAGAGACTAAGCAGGAAGTGGGCCTCAATAATAAAACCTCAAGGCCCACCCTTAGGGACCCACTTCCTCGGTTGATACTCCATCTCCCGAATGTTTAACATTCTCCCCAAACAGTGCTCCCTGCTTGGGACCAGGTATTCAAACACATGAGCCTATTGGGGGCATTTCACTTTCAAAATACTATAAGGTATGCTCGTAGGACCTCATATTCAAGGGGGCAGCGAGAAGACAATAAGTAATGAGTTGGCCAATGCAAGTTATTATCTTTGATGGACCCAGGAGCTCTAGGATGAATGAACACAAATGACAACAGGTGGGAAGTAATTCTTACTAATGTTTTGGTGGGCACTGAGGATAGAACCTGGTCCTTTGTGCATGGTAGGTATCTTAGTTAGAGTTTCTATTGCTGTGAAGAGACACCGTGACCACAACTACTCTTATAAAGGAAAAACATGTAATTGAGGCTGGCTTACAGTTTAAGAGGTTTAGTCCATTGTCATCATGACATGACATGGTGGCATGCAGGCAGACATGGTGCTGGAGAAGGAGCTGAGAGTTCTACATCTTGATCTGTAGGCAACAGGAAGTGAACTGTCTACCACACTGGGTGTAGCTTAAGCATAGGAGACCTCAAAGCCCACCCCCACAATGATATACCTCTTGCAACAAGGTCATACCTGCTTTAACAAAGCCACACCTGTTAATAGTGCTACTCCCTATGGGGGACATTTTCTTTCAGACTGTCACAATAAGCCAGCCCCCTGCCATTGAGCAACACTGCCCTGGAAGGTAAAGTTTTTAAATAGAGTATTCATATCTTGCTCTGTGACATTGCCTCTGTGGCTCAGGTAGTGGTAAGCTTGAACAGGAAGCCACCAGCACTGGGGAGGTGCAGGAAAGGACAAGGCATGACAGGGGCCAGAATTTTTCCAGAGTCTTGAGGAAATACCTCCTGGAAATCATTGCCCAGTCTTAATGATTCCATCCTGTGACGTCAGAGAATGGGTGGAGTCATTGGTCCAGACCAGCACACTTAGGCTGCCGTTGTCAGTCACATCTCATCATCAGCATGTATTTTAGGCCTTTCCCAGGTTTGGTAGGTCTTGTATTCCTTGCTGTCAGACCTCTCTACTTCCCATGAGTCTTCCTTGGGCTATTACCATATTCTTTCCCTGTTGGGTCTCAACCCTTTGACTTCTCTGACCCTCATCCTAACCTTTGTCTGTGAGCTTGGCTTGTGTTCTCTTTCCAGTCTCAGGGGCTCCCACTGCAGGCCCCGCTGTGTGTCATTAGCAAGCTCTTGACAGCTCTTCATACCATTGACACAGACTGTCAGTATGGGAAGTTCAGCCCCTTGCACCCTGCAGCCCCTCCCTAGGGGTGACCTTGGTCTATGGGAGACTCTATCTATCATCTTTTGGTCATTGTAACTGTTGTTAGTCTCTAACATGACATCAACAGGTTTTCAGGCACAGCAGTCAGCCATGCTGAGACCTGATGAGAAGATTAGAAACATCTACTTTGGTGGTGGATCTGTGGCCACGTAGGCCTTGGAGAAATTTACATCTCGGAATAAATGGAAAGTCTCTCAGTTGCTTCTGGACCCCATGAATGCCACTGCCCTGAGTCCGTGTCTAAATGGGCTCCTTTCTGTTGTTAACTCTGGCCATCACAGGAACTTGCTGGTCTTGATCTGAAGTCCTCCTGATTATGATCTTTGCCTTCTAAAGCACTGAAATGATTAATCTTCATGTTCAACTTGGGGTTAGCAGACCAGCCCTCTCTAAGATAACAACTGCAAACTCTGGGTAAAAGTAAGAAGCAAAAACAACTACAAATGATGAAACATGCACACACACACACACACACACACACACACACACATGTGCACACATACATGGACATGCATGCACACGGATGGCTAATCTTCACTGTCAACCTGTTGAGATTTAACATCACCATGGAAACATATTTCTGGGTACATCTGAAGTTGTTTCTGAAAGGACTTAACAGGGTAAGGAAGACCACCCTGAATACGGGCAGCACCATCTTATGGGTTGGGGTCTGGACTGAGTAAAAAGTTGAAAGTGTGTAAAAGACTATCATTTATGTCTTTTTCCTTTCTTCAGATGTCACGTCATCAGCTGCCCCCTTCCCTGCTGCTGGGATACCTTCCTGCCGTGACCGACTGTACCCTTAAAGGGTGAGCCAAAATCAGCCCTGCCCTAGGACGCTTCTGTCAAACACTTTGTCGCAGCAACAAGACAAGGGACCATAGTGCTCGTTCACTTTCTTCCTTTTCATTAGGATTTGTTCATCTCAGTCATGCTTTCTAGTTAACTCCGTCACAATGTGGCAGACACTGTTTGGATTCAGGAGGGCGGAGACAATGAGATGCCTGGGCATCTGACAGGGTGTGTGAGCTCCTAGCAGGGCTGCTCTGTGTAGGACCACATCTGTGAATTCCAGCAAAAATGAAAAGTCAAAGCAATATGAAAATACCTAAGACCCGAAGAAAGCAGGTCTTTAGTCTCCTTCTCCTCTCCCTCCCCTCTCCCTCTTCCTCTTCCTTCCCTCTCCCTCCCCTCTCCCTCTTCTCTCCCTCCCCTCTCCCTCCTCCTCTCTTATCAAGTCTTCTGAAAGTATTTAGTCCACTTTTCATAGGAATGCTGTGCCCCTCATGATTTGTCTTATCCTTATGTAATGTTTATCTGTACATTAAGTGCATCATGGTCATGAATGTGTCAGAAGCAAAGCATCCTTGGCGAACTTAGAGCTAGCTGATGGAAGCACTTGAGTCCTGCAGAGAGCTAGTGGCCATCTGAGGAGTTCCTTGTGCTGTGAGTATCAGGCAATGAATCTGCAGAGAGAGCAGGACACCTTGGTCAATACAATGAGGAAGAAGTATCCCAGCTTACATGACTGCTGCACAGCTCACAATAACTCTTAGAACAACGGTCCTAAAGTCATAAACTGACTTCTGTGTAGACAGTGAAGAACTCTCCATAGGAAGGCTGTACTGAAGTCATCAGATCTTCCAGAATACCACAGGCACCCCATCTGAATTGATCTTTATCTAATAAGAATGATTCATCTCTAGGTCACGTGTCCCCATCAACTTCCTCCTTCAGCGGCATCTCTGTCAATCATATAATTTCTTGGTTTTTGGAGATTAACATGGTGTTGCTATTATAAGTATAAGATGGTTTCAGGGAATTCAGTAAACATCAGACAGGCTGAGTTTAAGCATTTTCTGAAAAACCAGTTTGGAAAAGTCATTTAAATTAGATTAAATATTTCACTGAAGACCTAGGTTGGCAATCACTCATCAACAGCCTTCTACAGCTACCTAGGTTAAGAAGTTCGGTTGAGGAATCCTAGGGGTCAGGGGGTAGCCTACCTTAAAACTCAGAAATACCCCCTTGATAGCACAGGGAAGAAAGGAGGAGAAAAAAGTATTTTTCAGACTAAATCATACAACTAAAGGATGATAAATGAATCACAATTTATAGCAAAAGTGAATTCTAAATAGTAAGGTTAAGGTTTAAGAATAATTTACTTACACGTAGATTTGGGGCTGATGAATTTGACTTCCTTTGGCTACTCAAGTGAGAAAGGAGTGAAAACTCACAGTGAGTGTGGGTTCTTCCTAACAAGGATGGGTTTTTACTCTGCCACCCCAGGTCGGGGCTGCTTTTTGATGTCATGTTGTGCTCTTCGGATCTTCGCTGCGGTAGTGATTTGCATTGTAGATTTAAATAGTGATTAATGAGCTCTCTTACTGTCTAAGCTTCTGATTTCAGTCATCAGAGAAGATTTATCGAATACTTCCGTGTACCATTGCTGATCATGTGTCTCAAGATGATTATGGGACACACAATTCTTTTATAACTATTAGACCATTTAAAGAAAAATCCAGAGTTTTACAATGTTCTCTGAGCGCCCCAGAACTTTATAGTAAATGTACGGTTTGATCTCCCACATAGAAACACAGTTTCCTTCCGGTGGAAGCAGAATTGACTTATGAGAATCCGTCATCCTACCTCCCACACCATGTGGAGGCCATACCAATGTCTCTATTTAGGAAAACAAGGAGGGATATGCACCTTCTTACAACTTTTTGAAACTTACAACTTACAATTTTGAAACAGAGGTCAGTATTTTTACAGGATCACATTACCCAATATTTGGACCATGATTTTTACATTAAAGATATGCTTAACGTCTTTAATTTGTTAGTCACCATGGGACTTGATTTATCAACATTCAAGACACGTGACATTCCTTCCTTCTTGAAAGAGTCCCCTGCTGGGGGCATGGTGGTACAAGTCTTTAACATTAGCACTATGGAGGCAGAAGAAACTCTGTGAGTTCGAGGCCTGTCTGGTCTACAAAGCTAAGAACAGCCAAGGACAGCCAAGGCTGTTACACAGAGGAACTTGGCCTGGGGCGGGGGTGGGGGGGAAGAAAGTCCATCCGTTATTTTCTTTCATTCAGACTCTCTTGGTTTTGTTGTTGCTTAACAACACTACTGGGGTGTATTTTATATACTACAAAAGTTATCTATTTCAAATGTCTAATTCAATGCCATTTAATGACTTTACCAAGTGCTGTAACCATCACCATCAATCTGTTCAGGATGTTTTCATCTTCCCATAAGAGCACTCCAGCCCCTCTGTAGTGAAGTCCCTTTCTTAACGCCAGTCCTATTTAACTGTTTAACTGTTGGAACCTCTCAGGGTTCTACTTGGACACTCTCCTCTTTTCAATCCACAGTCTTTCATTGGAAGATTCCTTATGGCCATGGCTTCAGCTACCTAGACATAGCTCTCCATGTGGCTCCAGATCACATACCCCAAATATCTCTTAGCTGCTTATGGTGACATATCCTTATAATCTCAACACTTAGTGTGTAGGGCAGGAGCATTATGAGTTTGAGGGCAGCCTGATTGGGTTATATTTTAAGACCTTGTATCGCCGGGCGTTGGTGGCGCACGCCTTTAATCTCAGCACTCAGGAGGCGGAGGCAGGCGGATCTCTGTGAGTTCGAGGTCAGCCTGGGCTACCAAGTGAGCTCCAGGAAAGGCGCAAAGCTACACAGAGAAACCCTGTCTCGAAAAACCAAA